TCTAAACCGAGCTTTACAGAGACACCCTCTCGGCACCAGGAGTATGCTGGCTCTTGATTCTTCCGGAAGGTAAGGAACGTGAAGTCCAAAGCACTGGGCTACAGGGCCTGCCTCCACCCTGCGGAGCCCCCTTCGCAGGTTCTGGAGCAGAGAAAGCTCTGCAAACACCATTCCCCTCACCCTGAAGAGTCAGTCTGCGGAATCCCGCCCTGGCGCCCGGCGACCCCCACCTCGGTCCGCAGATCTCCAGACTTACTCAACCACACCCCGCAACCCCCCTTGTTCCCGGTAATACTCCAGAGCATGCTCTGAGAAGCCCAGAGGAAAGGCACAGCAGGGGACCATTTGTGGTGAAGAGCCAGAGGACTGGGGGTCAGATTTCAGGGATCCCAGCCCGACCAGTGACCAGCAGGGCAACTGTGGCCAGTTCCCAGTTCCCTCAGTGAACTCATACGGAGGGGCGGAGGTGGGGGCGGGGGGGAGGCATGCCTCCAGGAGTCCACACTCAACTAGCCCAGCGCCTGACGGCGAACCAGGGGGCCTGGAGACCACAAAGCCAGGGGCAGCAGACTGACCAGCGCAGGCCCGGCGCGCAGGGAGTCTCGGGTATGTTGCGCGAGCGCGCGGCGAGGCTCACGTGCACGCGCTTCCGCGAGTCGGCGCAGGGCCCCCAGTGTGCGCCCGGTCGCGTGGCGCAATGTCCACCCCGCCACACCCACCAGGGTGGAGGGAGTCCGGCGGGTCTCCTCCTGAGTTGTAAATGCAATTGCGTGTCCAACCCCGCATTGAACACTTGGGAAAGTGAGGCCAGGAGAGAGGCAGGGACTGGCCCGAGACAGAGATGGGCAGAATCCAGAGAAGGGAGGGTTCTGGCCTCCTAGGGCCAGGGCTGAACTCTCCTATGGTGTTTGCTTTGAGAATGACAGCCTTTAAATCCTGGGGAACCACTGCCCACCCCCTCCTCTGTGGGGCTGTTTACTCCTGGCATCCCCCATCCAGCGCACGCACACACACAAATACACACACTGGCTTCACAAACGCAAACCATAGGGATGCAGTCAGGGGAGGAGCTGACACTGTGGAGGTGAGAAGGGAGAAAAAAGAAAAAGGTTGGAGGCAGCTCTGCCATGGGGTACACTGGCCCTGCAGCAGGCTGGTGGGTGTGTGGAAAGCAGTGATCTCAGAATCATTATTGATTCATAGGGAGGGCACTGTGCTGGTGCTGTGACCATAGTACCCAACCTCGAGGACCCACAGAACCACCTCATACAAGAGGTGATCTGCATGTTCTAAGATTAAACTATGGTGATGGCTGCACAATTCTGTAACCTGCTGGAAAAAAAAAAAAAACACTGATTCATACACTTTAAACTGGTGAGCTCATGGAATGCAAATTCTCTCTCAATAAAGCATGGAAACTAGAAATTCAAATCAAATTAAATTACAAGAAAATAAACATTACATTAGTGCATATCTGGATCTGTGGCCTAAAAGTCTGTGCCCATCACAGTTTAGGTTCAGTTGCATGAGGTTATCATACTGACAAGAAATTATTAAAATAATAACCTCACCTTGTGATAACGAACCAAGTGGGCTCCCCTCCTGGTGAGTTAAATGAAACTCTACACCAGTGGAAGCTGTCTCACAAAGTAAAGTGTATTTGCAGCAAATAGGAGGCCATGAGGAATCATTTCCAAAGTCATGGTGTCCCGAACAAAGGGAAGGAGGAACTTTTATTTGGTTGGGGAATGAGTCTTCAAAAGGGAGAGGTGGGTATTTGCTTGCGCAGGCTCAGTTGGAGAACATGCTTCCACATAAGAAGGCCTAAGCTCCTCCTGGAGAGATTTTTGCATTAAAAAGAAGGCAAAGGTCATGGGCATAGCTCTTGTGGTGAGGCTTGGTCAGTTCCAGGATGGCTGGTGGTTACATCTCCCTTGAGTTTCTTGCTTGGTCAGTTTCAGGATGGTTGGTGGTTATATCTCCTTAACATAAAAAGGCAAAGAAACAACTTGGAAAAACAGTTAAATGCTTCCAAACCCACCGTTAAGTTTCTCCAGGTGCCTAGTCGGTGACACTTTGACACTATTTCCATTGAGTATAAGAAAAATAGGATGCTCTTGAAGGGTGGAATTTTGATGGTATTTGACCAGGGACTCATGAATACCTGGATCCACTCCCCTCTCTTCAAGGAGCCCAAAAGAGATTTATGCAAAATGAACAAAGGAAAGTAACTTTTCACTATTAGCTAGAGCTTCGGCCCCAAACACCAATACAGAACTCCAGAGAACCAAGCCACGCTACATGGACGACTCATTTTCATGATATCAGACAGGTCTCTGTATCCTCTGTTCACAGAAGGTCAAAAGCCACTCTATTTCCACCCTGAAGTCCAATCCAAGCTCTTATCAATCTTCCAGAACCAAAGAAAAGAGGGAGAGAGAAACAGAGCAAGCTTGCCCAAAACCTGGTATGAAAGGACAGAACTCCCAGATGGGAACCGCCTCCAACATCTTATCTACCATGGAACTGTCCAAAAAGACCCTACTCACATGCACCCCCAACTTTTAACTCCCCGTAGTGACTCCACGCACTAGCAGATATAACTAAGTAAAAATTTTAATTTCTGCAACTTAAGTAATAATAAAGTTAAAGTCAAACAACAGGCTGGGAGGAAACATTTGCCATCTATTCTCCAAAATGTATAAAAACTCCTACAAGTCAAGAAGAAAAGGTCGAACACCACAACAAGGACAAAAGACATAATAGAAAATTCATAGAAAAATATAAATGGTCAACAAATATATGGAAAGAGGCTCAACTGTATTAATAATTGGTAAAGATCATATTTAACCAATAATGAGATTTTTTTTACCTATCAGACTGACCAAAGTTAAAACTTGCACAGTAACTTGTGTTAAATGGAGTCAATTTAGCAGCTTCTACCACAATTTTTAGACACTCAAGCCCTTTGACCCAAAATTTCACTTCTCAGTACCTACAGAAATCTTTACAGATGCACAAAAATATTTCTAAAGATGTTCATTCACTCTGCATTTTTTTAAATGGTGAAAAACAATGGAAATGCCCTAAATATTTATCAGTATGGGAATGGAAAATATAGTACATCTATCTATGGAATTAAATGCAACAATTTAAAAGAATACTATCCACCTATATATAGACTTGGAAAATTTTCTAAGACATTAAGTGAAAAATGCAATGAGCTGAATAATTTATACAGTATAATTTATGATGTAAAAATTATATCTGTGATATATATGTATGCAAATACATAAAAATAAGGCCTAGAGGGATACACACCTTTTACTGCATTGAATAGTGTCTCCAAAAAAATTCATGTCCACCTGGAACCTCAGAATGTGAAATTATTTGGAAATAGGGTCTTTGCAGAAGTAATTAGCCAAGTGAAAATGAGGTCACGTTGGATTAGGTAGGCCCAGTGACTGGTGTCCTTATACGAAGGCCCTGTGAACATGGAGGCAGAGACCGGAGGGACACAGCTACACGCCAAGGAGTGACAAGGACTGCCAGCAGCCACCAGAGGCCGGGAGAGAGGCATGAACAGATCCTCCCTCAGAGCCTCCCGAAGGAACCAACCCTGTGGACACCGCGATTTTGGACTCTGGCCTCCTGAAGTGTGAGAGAATAAATTTCTCTTGTTTTAAGCCACCCAGTTGGTGATCATTTGTTACGGCAGCCACAGGAAACTAACACACACCTGTTTCACAACGGTTTGCTTTACGGAAGAGATTCTATATATTTCTATATTGTTTGAATATTTTACAGTGAGAATTTATTCTTTCACAGCTAATTTTTTTCCAATAAAATAATAAAGAAATTACCCACGTTTTACGTTGGAATTTTCGGCTCTGCCACTTATCAAGTATGAAATCTTGAACGAGTCATTAAACATATAAATGTCTTGATTGCTTCATCTGTAAAATGAGGATGTTAACATTTACCCTGCTCACCTCCCAGGCTGGTATTGGAGTCTCCCTGACTCCTCTTCTTTCACTGTCTACATCCATTCTTCCTCCAAAATGGCTCCATAGACTGTGAATCCCTTTCCATTCACACTACCATCCCTGTCTCTAATCCATGTCACCAGCCCCCAGATTAATTTCACCAAAACACCACTAAATGTTTCTTTCCTTTTTGAACCCCTTCAACAGTTTCTCATTACCTATTTAGATCCAAACTTCTTAGCCTAGTTCAAGATCCTCTACATTCTGAGCCCCACTTACCTTCTATCCTTATCACTCACCACTTGCTTCCTTGGTAGAGGGAAGCCAGGTTTGTGAATGATCTTTGAACCTTGAGCCTTGCCATTTTCAACCATGCCTTTGAGTATGCTTTTCCCTGTAAACAGATTATCCTCCACCCTCACCTCCTTTCCACTCTAAAAGGCTTCTCTCATGGCCCCACAACAGAAGCGATTTCACTTTCCTTTGAATTCCTGTAGCACAAACCCACAGTATCTTATGTATTTTAATTACCACCATTAAACTGCAAACTCCTTTTGAGAGAAAAACTTTATTGATTATTGTGCCTAGCACACTATCTTATGGAGAACAGGTGATCAATACATATTTGTCAAATAAATGAATAACAGTTACAAAACACTTGAGTTTTATGGAAACAATATGGGCTCTAAAATTTTTTTCATAATATTCACCTGGTACATACCAGTATGGTCACGCTAGTTGTAAAATATTAAATACTTCCCTACGCCCTTGCCACCCAAATGCCTTCCACTACCATTGCTGGCCGGGTCTCTCGTCCCCTGGGGGCACCTGGATTCCCATAATCTCCCACTAAAGGATTAATGCCTTGCACAGTGGGAACTCAGGACCCTACTCCAGATGTGTGGCTAGGGTCCACTGTTGGAAGTATCTATTCTGACTCATCTAGACCTGTGCAGTGTCACTGTTAAATATTTTGATAATCACCCCTGATTTATAAATAAAGTTTAATTATACAACTTGAAAACGATGCTTCTCCTCATTGCAAAATCTCTTAAGAGCAGATCCAGGAACAGAAAAGGTAAATGATACTTCGTCAGTCTCTGGAGGTTTAGGGCACATCCATTAAGACTCAATCTTCATGTAAACTAGAAGATAAGCAATTTCCCCCCTAGAAAGAAAAAAAAATGCAACAGCATAACAGAAATGAAACATTCATAGTTAAATGATACATTATTAATTCATGACAGGACAAGCCTGGGAAACTTTCCAAGGTGTTCTTCAATTCTTTGTCTATAAAATACCTCAGAGGGGAACAAAACAGGCGACCTGGGAAAATAACCACTAAGTTGCTATTAGTTAACACCTAAATCAGTGGTTGACAAACTACGAGCCCATGAGCCAAATCCAACTCTGTTTTTGCAAATAAATTTAGTCCGAACACAGCCACACTCATTCCTTCATGTATTGCCTATGGCTGCTATTGTGCTACAAGGACAGAGTTGAGTAGTTGCAACAGAGACCGTATGGCCCACAAAAGCTCAAATATTTACTCTCTGGCACTTTACAGAGAAAGTTTGCCAAACCCTAATCTAAAGAGTGGGCATCTAAAGGAGATGCTTAGAAGAAAGAGAAGAGGAAGATGACACGTAGATGTCTGGCCACATGCCTAGTTGGGTAAGCAGTGTGGGACAGGTTGCAGAGACTGAAGAAAAGACCCAGAGGCAGTGAACGAGACATAAGGATTTATTGGGAGTTACTTACAGGGAATGTCCAGTGGTGACCGGCTGGATGGACGTGCGCACCACTACCGTGGGCAGGGAGGGGGCTGTTTATATAGGCGGGGGAGCACAAAGGCTATGTGCTTGCCAAGGGGGCTCTCCCTGGTATCGCCAGCTACTCCCAGGAATAGCAGCTCACGTGGAGGGGCTCTGTGTTCCTTTAACACATGATGTTCTTTAAGTGACATAAGGTAGGATCTGGGCTGGCCAGGCCCTGGATTGTTACAGATCCCAGCAGCTGGGCGTTCTGTCCAGAAGGAGCCAGAAGGACACATGGTTGCAATGGGCTTGTAGGCTCTTGCTGAGCAGGCAAGGCCCAGGCCCCACAGTAGAAGACTGGAGGAGGATTTCAAACACAAATTTCACCTAATTTATTATTTTTCAAATGATCGGGCCTACTTCTGCACTGAAATCATCTCAAATATCACCTTTAGTATACAATATCACCTCTAACCCTGAAACTCAGCTGGAAAAACTTACAAAGTCTCTCTGCTTTAACTTCATCCAGCTTTTTTCTCTTCAGTTTCCCCTCTGTAGTTATTATTTTTAAAAATATACCTACTGCTATTTACTAAATGCAAGCTACTGTAGCAGACAAAGAAAGAGGAAAAGAGTGACCCTTACCCCCAAAGAGTTCATGGTCTAATGTGAAAGTTATATAAGCAATTACGAAACAGTGTGATCCTTGCTATAAAGGAGGTATGCTCAAAATGCAGTGAAAGCATATGAGAAGCCCCTGCAAACCCACCTCGGCGAATCAGTGGAAAGTTTTACCAAGCAGGAAGAGGCCATGAGCAGAAGTATTGAAGCATGAGTGGGAGTTCGCCTCGATGATAAATTAGCAGAGGGCAACACAGGCCAGGAACTGCATGTACAAAGCCATGGAGGATATGATGTTTGGGGAGCTACCTATACTTTCGTATTGTTGGAGTCTAAATTGTGAGAAAAGCATGATGCGGTGGGATGGGTATTGAAAGAGGAGGCTGAGCAGTTAGTCACTGGAGAGTTGCAGCTGAATCCATGAGAGTTTCATACAGTAACAAGAACCCTATGTAAACTCATTGGATTTCCATCACTCAAACACTTCTCTTACCAGCGGTAGTTATGATTTCCATAGGTACACTGGATGTCTTCCCAGGACACCTGGAAGTACATAAACAGATGAAGTGAAGCAGCCAGCTGGCATTTGCTAAGCATCCAGAGAGTACAGGGTGCTACAATTTGCCCTCCCTCACTCATCCAGGCAAACCCACCCCTAGTAACTCCCAAGACTTGGATCATTCGGTGATAGGATGCCATGTATGTGAAGTCTCTTTTAGTACCCCTGTCCCTCTGTTTCACCTTGGTTATGCCTAGCCCAGAGTTCTAACTTATGTATTTCTAACTCTTCTTGCTTTCCCTAAGTTTCCCACAGAGCATGAAGCTGCAGGGCACTGGGCCTAGGACACCAAAAACCTAGACACTGAGCTAAATGGGCTCTTACAGAGCTGTGAGCCAGATGGAGACTTCATGCAGAAGGGCTTTAAACCTCATAAAAGGCCCCCAGCACAGAGAGAACAGGACCACATTGTGTCTTGGCATTGAGGACCCATCTAGTCCTGGGCTCAGAATTTATTAGAAGTGGCTAATCCAGGGCAAGAGGCGATTTTGGATAATGTTCCTCACCCCACAAACATTGGAGTCATTGAAGCAGAACCATTTTCCATCCACAGAATTCCGGATATAGGCACAGTAATGACCAAAGCCAGCCATCCCCACATGGGCAATCACAGCAAAGAGTTCATACTGTCCTCCAGGCTGGAAGGACAGAAGGCACAAAATGACTCATCCATCATCCCTCCTCTTCTAACCCTCATCTAGAACAAGGAAACATTATTTCATCACACATTTATTCAGTGCCTACTGTATGCTACACACTGGTGCTTCAAGGGGACTAGAAAATAGTCCTTGACCTCAAGAATCTCACAGCTAATTAAACCAGAATTATAAAGCCATGTTTTATACCAGATTTATTTACAGGCGAGTTTGGGAAGACCCAACTTTTTCCCCAAAAAGGAGAAGGAACAACCAGCTGAGGAAAGCTCCCCAGAGAAGATATGCTTGAATTGATTTTGAAGGATGAACAAGACTGGCAGACAAGTTATGGGAAGGGTGGACCCAGAAATTACAAAGGCTCAGCAGCATAAAAGAGCAGAACGTATCGAGGAAATGGAAGTCAGGGAGGGTGCTGGGAAGTCACAAGAGATCAGGCTACCAAGGTCAAGTCAAGAATTAGAACTTTATCCCATGAGTGACTGGGAGCCACCAGAAGGTTTTAAGCAGAGGAACATCATCATCAGACTTGTGTTTGAGAAACACTGAAATAATGTGGTTTGAAAAATGGATTGAGAAATCAGGTGAGACAGAAAACAATGAGATAAACGAGGTACCACAATAGTGCAAGGAAGAAATGGTGACAGCCTGATTAATTACTTTCAGCAGGAGTCACTAAAATGATCATTATTATTAACATAATTATTAGCTGACTTTTAGCATTCACTATGCATTTAGTTAAGTCTTATACATGTATTATTTCATTTAATATTCACAACAATCCTATAAGCTGGGTGCTAATATAAATCCTATTTTACAGAGGTGGAATCTGAGCTAAGGGAGATAAAGTAATTTACCCAAGGGCCAGAGCTTACAAACAGAAGAGGCAGGATTTCAAGCCAGGCCTGCCTGGCTTCAAAGCCCCAGCTCTTTTTTTTTTGTTCGTGAGGTAGATTACCCCTGAGCTAACATCACCAGTCCTCCTCTTTTTGCTGAGGAAGACTGGCCCTGGGCTAACATCCGTGCCCATCTTCCTCCACTTTATATGGGACGGCGCCACAGCATGGCTTGACAAGCGGTGCGTCGGTGCGAGCCCAGGATCTGAACCCGTGAACACCGGGCCGCCGAAGCAGAGCGCGTGAACTTAATCACTATGCCACCGCAAAGCCCAAGCTCTTAATCCCTACACTGTACCGAGGAAGTGAGAGGAAAGGTGGAGATGAGGAGACAGCTTTGTGCAAAATTAGGGAGAAATAACTAAACGTATTTTGTAACTGGTTGGATGTGGTGGTGGAAACAAGTAGGAGGCACTATAAGAACAAATCCCAGATTTCTGGCTTGGAAATTAGGAAGATGTTGGTACCTTCAAGTTAAATATGGAACACAGCTGTTTGGGAATGAAAATAATGAATCTGGGGACTGTGTGACAACATTCAGTAGGAGGTAAATATACTGCTTTGGAGCACAACAGGAAGACCTGGACAGAAGATGTAGATTTGGAAATCTTCATTGGAACCATGAGAATTAATGGGAAGATATTTAAAAAATGGAGAGAAGAAGAAATGTAATTAAAACTAAATACCAATAAGAGGATGGGCACTTTCTCCAGCAATGGAGAAAGGAACCCTGGGAGAGAAACCTAGGGTAGACAGATTTTGAAGGAGAATAGGATCAATAACACAGAATATCACAAAAAGATCAAGTAAAGGAAAGACCAACAAGTATCCACTAGATTTGGCAGTAAGTCATTCTACTCCCTCAAATCTTAGAAAGTCGAGATAAGAGACAATTCTCTGTAAAGGGAATAGTGATGGGAGAGACAGAGTTTTGACTGACTGTGAGCAGGATCTCCACATCAGTCAGGAATACTTTATTCTTTTTTCTCAATACTGTCAAATAACGTCCCTAACCTAAGACATTGAACAGGATCAATAAGAGGGGTACAGGGGTGAGGGTAGAGCAAATGAAGCTCAGTCACCCAAAAGGGAGGGCTCAAATTATTCTCTATTTTCATTTGAGGACTTACTCTGGATTTTAAAAATGCAGGGCAATATCTAGATCTAACTATCAGTTTATAAGAAACACAAGGGATAGAGAAACATGTTAAATGACACCAACACCAACCAATATTCAACCAAATAAATTGCAAGGAAAATAAAAGGAGAGGAAACATAAAAGAAACTTAACATAAAAGAAGAAAGGGAGGTAGGGATGGGGGAAACAAACTTAAGCAAATTCAAGTGTAGACCTTGTTTGGATCTAGAGTCAAACAAACCAAACAACTCATAGAACAGTCAGGAGACATAATGAAATACTTACAAATGAAATGGTATGGTGTCTGGGATTTGCTTCAACATAACCCAGTAGAGGTTCGGAGAAAGAATAGGATGGAGGTGTAAGTAAAGTAAGACTGGCCACAAATTTTTATAACTGCTTAAGGTGCTTGATGGACCTGGGGATTCACTGTATAATTCCTCACTACCTTGGTATATATTCAAAATTTTCCATAACAAAGTCTTTTTAAGTGGAAAAAAATTTTAGGACCTACTTCATCAGGTAAACTGTGCAAGCAGAAATAAGGAAAACTAAAAGCAAAGAAAATGAGGGTCCTACGAAATGCATATGCCCTGAATAGGTAAAGAAACCTTGAATAATAGGAGCTATTACAACATATTATCAAGATCAGTTTTAAAATACCATGGTTCTAGAGCACGAATAGTAAACAGACCAATGGAACAAAACAGACAGTCCAAAAATGGACCCATATATATATGGGAATACAGAATTTGCTAAATGTAGCATTTCAAACCTATGGAGAAAAAATATTTGTCATTTTCTCTCTCAGAATCTGCCAATAAATTATTGGCTCAGGACAACTGAATTCAACTTCACTTTGATTAAATTTGGCCCAATGAATGGCTACTTTCTCATTATCCTCAAAGTGGGCATAAGCTGTTTTAAGAATAAAGCTAGATTGGTACTCTATTTAGAACCCAAGGTGTCGTGTTTACCTGTGTATATGTAAGCATTACACATTTTATTTAAAAGGAAGGTCCCGAATTATGGGTTTTTTCCCTCAGTGCTGTTAGGTATATGAGCACAAACATAATATTTAGAAATAAAACCTTTTGAATCTTAAAAGAAAAGCAACTACAAACAGCAAATGGTGGTGGTAGTGCGGTGATAACAACCCATCATTGTCAGAGAACACACAGGTTTCCATCATTAAAATATTGTTAAAAAATAAGTGTTTCCTGAATATATGAATGTTTCTATCAATCACACCAAGATGTTGGTGAGTTTTACTCCCTTTGTGTATCCTGAGCATGGTCAGCAGAGGACATGATTTCTGAAACAAGAGAATGACATAGATCAGACACCCAGAAATGCCATCTCTGATGAGTGGGTGACTTCAAGCAGCTCAGGGGAAGGGGAGACAAAATCGAACAGACGTGGTGTCCGAGAGACGGAAGATGGAAGAGAGGGGAGGAGCACCTCACCTGTGCCTCAGCATCACAGGCATCTCGCTCAGTCAGAAGGACCTGATTTAAATCCAAGCTCTGGGGGAAATACAGTGAGTGGCAGATTTTTTCTGTCCGCATATTCCTGACGGAGAACCGCATGAGGTGGACTGTCAAGGTCTGGGGCAAATGGGTCAGCTGCAAGACCTGAAAAAGCAAAATCCCTACGGAGATGAAGTCTTAAGGCACCTGACATGGGTACATTCAAAGAAATACCAGGGCTGATGGTATGTTCTTCTTCCCAAAAAGAGGGGAGCAGAAAGATACAATACAGAGTTTAGGGCTCCCGTTTGCTGAATCTGTTGAGCTCTCCCACAGAAGGCGTAAGCAGCCCCAGGGTTCTACACAGGTGCTGGAACCCAGGGGAACTACGGAGTCTGCTCTAGGGAGCTAGTCTAGCCCTGAGGGAAAAACTCTGCCCGCTGCTCTTGGACCTTCTCCTCTTGTCCTTCAAAGGCTCGGTCCCTCTCAGTGATGAGCACACCCACAGCTCTGAAGCCCCAGGATCCCAGATACTAGCCTGATATGGACTCCCTCCCTCACTCATCATGAGGTGCCCTCGGGGACTGCGTGAAGACTCTCAGGAAATCCACTTGGGGCAACCCCAGACTAGGGAAGTATCTGGTTTCAGGGAGTGAGTACCTGTTTCCTACAGGTCTTCTTCTCACAGTTTTCACAGAAGAACTTGCTTTTGTCTGATAACTCCCTGGGCTGGAAGAAACAGCGAAGTGCATCCTCCTGTCCCAGGAGAACAAGAGCAGGGTTGGTATTTCCCCTCTAGAGCACAACCCCTCACCCTGCAGATGGTGATTTAAGTCTTTCTTCTGGTTATCTCCATGTCCCCATTAACGTCTGGCCCAACGTGGTGCATATGGCAGGATCTCAAAAAGTACCTACTGATCGCAGGGAAAAAACAGGAGGGACGCTTGTTAAGGGAGCAGTGTGAGGAAGGGGAAAGTAGGAGAAAAAACTTTTTTTTTCTTTTTTTTGCCAAATCAAAGGAGAACTTAGCCAGAGCCATGCAAAGGGAATAGAAATGATTTTTTTAAACCCAAGGGTGGATTAAAGAAGCAAGAGGACATTGGCAACATTGGGTTGTGGGAGAACAGCAAATTCACCAAGAGAAATCCCTCACCAGTGTTTTCAGGGGCTTTGAGTCCATATCGAAAAGAGGAAGGGGGAGGGTCAGCATGCTACTGTTTCTGCTGCTCTCCACAGTACATTCGAGGCAAACCAAGGACTCCCTCACCCGGATCGTATACAGGGCCTGTAGCCTCTCCACCTGCAAGAGAGAGGAGCGGAGAGGTCAGAAGGGGACAAAGCCAGGAATAAACAGGTCAGGCCAACTCCCAGAAGTTGAAGCCACTAGACAGAAGTTCCAAAAATGGCAGCCACTAACGCTCTTTGCTCTACTCAAAAAGGTGAAAAATAATAACAGTGGTACTATTATGGAATTGTGATAAACATTTTATGTGGATTTTCTCTTTTAATCCTCTCTACACATTACATTAAAGAAAGCTGAATGAGTTAAATGAGCAGCATCTTAAACTTCTGCGTTCTCTAGTTCTAGGATCTTACCAAGTTCACGTCAGTGATTTGGTCCTTAATTAGGTTCCAGACTGTGAGGTAGAGTTGAACAGCATCATGCTGGACAAACACTGGCCAAAGAGAAAAGTAACAGCAGAGTTAGTGAGGTCGCCAGGGACACTTCTCATGAACATGTGCCCTCGCCACCTAGATGCACGTAAGCACTCATCACTCTGTCTTTTCCTAGCCTTCCCCCTCTTTTCAAGCTAAGTTTCTACTAGACGTTAGGTGCTAAAAATGAAAAATAAGCTTGGTGTTGATTTTTGAAAACTCCTCTTAAAACTTAAAATCCAGTTCCACTGTATCACATAAGTTTTCTGTCCTCTGACCTGCCACCCACCCCTACTGGTCCTCACTGGGGGACCCAGCTAGATAAAACTAATAGTCAGCAGTGGATTCTCTCCTATGTCTATGCCAAGCCAATACTCTAATTGACCCCTCTAGTCATTCACTTCTCTGTGCCTTTATGTATTTTCTTTATTCACCTCCCTAAAAATTGACCAGTTTCCCAACACTCATATCTGACCCAGTTCTTCCCCAAAGGTGTCTAGGAGAACAAGAAGGGAAAAGACCATCTCAGTATGAGATGGTGTTAGCTAAGAGGAGGCAGGAATTAAGCAGTGATTCCTACATATGTTATATAAGTAAATGTAAGGCTAAAAGTGTTGTGTACAGATATAAATCAATTTGTGTTGTTCAAAAGAAACCTAGGAAGACACAGAAAATGAAAAACACACTGAGGACTATTTTACAAAAGGCCAGATGTCTGGCAAAATGCAAAGACATTTCAAGAAAAGGTGGTTATTGTAAATGTACTAAATATTCATATCTGCTATCTCAACACCATTTTATTTCCTTCATGATACTTATCGCAATTTGTACTTAATATTTTTGGGTTTTATTTTGTTTTGTTTTATTTTTGTTTTGGCCCATCTCTCCTTTAAATTGTAAGCTCCATGGAGGTAAAGACTCTATCAGCCTTCTCCCTTACCTACAGCAACAGCACAATACCTGGCACATAACAGGTGAACATTATATATTAGTTAAATAGATTAGTTAATCCATATTCTAAAATAATCCCAAAACTTAGAGACAAACAGGCTAGCAGCAGGGCTGAACTGACGCTGTCCCCAGGGAATTATTTACAGAAGGCTGCCTGCCACAGAGCCAACACTGGACGTAAAACAAGTTGGATCACCTTGCCATGTGAAGACATTCTCTTGTCTGACCGTAACAGAACCAAGAGTCCCAATTCACCTAAGAAATATAGGGATACTTGCCCAACCCATAATTTAATTAACGCCTGCTGTGTGCAAGGCATTGTGCATGCCAGAGAAAGTTCCTGTCCCCAGGAGACCTATATTCTAATGGAGGACCAGTATCCACGTACAGTCAGCCCTCCATATCCGCGTGCTCCACAGCCACAGAGTCAACTGTCGGACCGAAACACCTACAATGGTTGCGCCTGTACTGAACATGTACAGACCTTTTTTTCTTCTCATTATTTCCTAAACAAAACAGTATAACAACTATTTACATTGCATTAGATATTATAAGTCATCTAGAGATGATTTAAAGTATACGGGAGGGGGCCGGCCCCGTGGCTTAGCAGTTAAGTGCGCGTGCTCCGCTGCTGGTGGCCCGGGTTCAGATCCCAGGTGCGCACCGCTTGTCCAGCCATGCTGAGGCAGCGTCCCACATAGAGCAACTAGAAAGATGTGCAACTATGACATACAACTATCTACGGGGGCTCTGGGGAGAAAAAGGGAAAAAAAATAATTAATTAAAAAAATAAAGTATACGGGAAGATGTGCATAGGTTATACGCAATACTATGCCATATTCTATAAGGAACTTCAGCATATGTGGATTTTGGTATTCGTGGGGTGGGGAGGGTGTCCCAGAACTAATGCCTTGTGAATACTGAGAGATGACTATAATCATAATTCAAAGAAGAATAAGAAAAATTCCCTAAGGTGTACAAACTGCTATGGAAAGCTAAAGGAAGGTGAGAATACAACTGGAATGGTAGAGTGAGGGTCTCCCTAAATCTATTCCTCCATAAAAGCAATGAAAATGCTGGCAGAAATTGTCAAAATCAATTTTTTCAGGACTCTGGAAATTAACCAAAAGTTTATAAAAATCTAAGGAATGTTTATTCAAAAAAACTGCAAAACCTAAGTAAGAAGAGCAAGATTTGAGCCTTCTTCAACTTGGCCTGTTCCCATTTCCTCCTTCCTCACTCTGTGGTAGCCCTGAAAACCAGAAACCTTACAACTGCCAAAGCGAGCAGACTGGGACCACAGCTCCTCAAAAAGTCTCATCACAAGAGCATTTTCATTATTTTATGTCTTACAGCTTTGTGGAAAAGCCTCATTTGAAGGAGACTGTCATTATTTGACCAGACTCAGAGCTCAAAGCCCTCTTCTCAGGGCATTTGTGGAAAACAACCAGTGACAGTTAATATCACGGTTACCTCAGGCTGCAATATCAGCTGGGGCAAAAAAGAGCCTAGCCAAAAACTTAAAAGAGATCTGGGGAATGAGATGTCCATAGGGGACTTTCAGAAGCTCTGACATATTCCTGGTGATCTAGAAGGCCATTTGCATGCCCAGGTAACACCTGAGAGGGCCCCAATCTCTTACCTCTGGCTGAAAAAGCAAGAAATGAAGGCTAAAAGTATCATCAACCACGTAAGCCTTGAAGGTGTGCCACAACAGACACACAGAGCCCCTCAGCAAAGACTAGCAGACTTACTGGTTCAAGCCATTTTAAGAAATCTCTGACCAATCACTACCTGACACATAAGCTAACCAAACAGAAACTTCAGTGGCCACACACTACGGGGAATACAGACTTTGCAGAATTAGTCCAGCACAGTCACTAAACAAACAGCAACAACAACAAAACCCATTCTAGGGATTTCTGATTTTCACTGTTGCCACATTATATTATTTAAAATGTTTAGTTTTTAACAAAAAATTACAAGACACACAATGAAACAGAAAAGTATGGCCCATACACAGGAAAAAAGCAATCAGTAGAAGCTGTCACTGAGAAGACCCTGGTATTGGCCTTACTAGACAAAGACTTTAGACGGGTTATTATAATATGTTCAAAGAACTAAAGAAAACCATGTCAAAATAACTCAAGTATGAAAACAATGTTTCACCAAATAAAGAATATCAATAAGAAGAAAAAATTATTTAAAAGAACCAAATAGAAATTCTTGAGTTGAATAGTATAATGACAGAAATGAAGAGTTCACTAGAGGTGGTTAACAGCAGATTTGAGCTGGCAAAAGAAAGAATCACCAAATTTGAAAATAAGTCAATTAAGATTACACAATCTGAGTAATGAAAGAAAAAATGAATGAGGAAAAATGAACAGAGCATCCATGAGTTCAGTGATGAATTCTACCAAACATCTGGGGAAGAAATCATACCAATTCTCAAAATCTCTTCATAAGATAGAATCAGAAGGAATATTTCCTAACTCATTCTATAAGGCCAGATTTACCTTAATAACAAAATCTGACAAAGACATTACAAGAAAAGGAAATTACAGATCAATATCTCTTGTGAACATACATGCAAAAATCCATAAGAAAATATTAGCAAATAGAATCCAACAAAATATAAAAATAATTATACACCACAACCAGGTGAGATTTATCCCAGGTATGCAAAACTAGTTCAACATTTCAAAATCAGTTAATGTAATCCATCACATCAACAGGCTAAAAAGAAAATACGCATGATCATATTAGATGCAGAAAAAGCATCTAACAAAATTCAACACTCATTCATGATAAAAACTCTCAGCCAACTAGGAACTGAGAGGACCTTTCTAAGTTTGAAAAGGAACATCTTCATAAAACCTAAAGCTAACATCACACTTAATGGTGAGAAACTAGAAGCTTTTCCACTAAGATCAGAATAAAGACAAGAATATCCCCTCTCATCACGCCTTTTCAACATCATATTGGAAGTCTCAGCTAATGCAATAAGACAGGAAGAGGAAATAAAAGGTATACTTATTGCAAAGGAAGAACTAAGTATGCCCATGTTTGAGGATGACATGATCATCCATGTAGAAAATCCAAAAGAATCAACAAAAAACTCCTGTAACTAATAAGTGATTATAACAAGGTTGCAGGATACAAGGTAAATATATAAAAGTCAATCACTTCCCTATATATCAGCAATGAACAAGTAGAATTTTAAATTAAAAACATAATATAATTTCATTAGAACCCATGAAAATGAAATACTTAGGTATAAATCTAACCAAATACATACAAAATCTATAGGAGGAAAGCCACAAACTGATGAAAGAAATCAGAAGAACTACATAAATGGAGAGACATTCCATGTTCATGGATAGGAAGACTCAATATTGTCAAGGTGTCAGTTCTTCCCAAATTGATTTATAGACTTAATGCAATTCCAATCAAGATCCCACCAGGTTATTCTGTAGATATTGACAAACTGATTCTAAAGTTTATTTGGAAAGGAAAAGACTCAGAATACCCAACACAATATTGAAGGAAAATAACAAAGTCAGAGGACTAATTCTGAACTTACTACAAAGCTTCAGTGATCAAGACAATGTGGTGTTGCAAAAGAACAGAAAAATAGATCAATGGAACAGAATAGGGAACCCAAAAATACACCTACATAAACAATGTCAACTGCTCTTTGACAAAGAAGCAAAGGCAATACAATGCAGCAAAGACAGTCTTTTTACTAAACAGTGCTGGAACACCTGAACATAAACATGCAAAAAAAAAAGAATCTAGACACCAACCTCACATCCTCTAAAAATCTTATTCAAAATGGATAACAGACCTAACTGTAAAATTCAAAACTACAAAATTCATAAAGATAATACAGGAGAAAATCTAGATGATCTTGAGTTTGGTGATTACTTTTTAGATACAACACCAATGCACAATCAATAAAGGAAAGAAATGATAAGCTGGACTTCATCAAAATTAAAAATTTCTGCTCTGTAAAAGACACTGTCAAGAGCATGAGAAAACAAGGCACAGACTGAGAAAAAATATTTAC